AGGGTCTACATCAGTCTTGATCCCCTCTCTTCCCTGAATTCTTCCCACCACAGGATAATGGCAAACCCAAGAAAAGAAAAATACTAACCGAGAAATAAACATACTAGTTTATTCCTAGTCATGGAAAAACAATTCGTCCACTCAGACTTTACTAAATGACTACTGTGAACTGGACACTAGGAATACAAAGATGGGGAAAAAAATGACTGCTATTCAGAAAAGTAGACAAGACGGATAGACACATACAACCACCATGTCATGCAACAAGTATCAGCAGAGGTGTGGACACGGTGTTTGGAAATACAGAGAAAAAAACTTTTGCTCATGGCGGAGTCAGAAAAGGAGTCATAAAGATGGTATAACTTCGTACTGGGTTTTTTTGATAAACAGGAGTCCATGTGGATGACAAGGCCTTCTAGCGCATGAACTGTAAAACATCTTGTCATTTTCTAGAAACGGCAAGCGCTTGGAATGGATGGAACACAGGTCTGTGGGTGTCAAGGCAGGAGATGAGGTGAGGCCAGATCAATCACCACAAGAGTCAATGCCTAAAAACATGGACTTCGTGACAAAGTAAGAGAACAGTAAAACCAAAGAGATAAATGACAGCACTGTGGCGCACAAACAAGAAGAGCAAATGGAGACAAAGAAATCAGGTGAAATGGATACAAGGGTCTGCGTTAAGAAAATAGCAATGGGAATACAAAGATTAAAACAGAAAGGAAACACATTTAAGAAGAGTCAACAGAACTTGGTGACAAAGTAAGTGAGATAAAGGAGAGGAGAATCACAGGATGACTCTCAGGTTTCTAGCTTATGCAGCTGAAAAAATGGTGTCTCTATTTACTGGTAAATGAAAAATGGAAGAGCAGAACTGAGAAGGTAAAGATAGTTTGTTTTAACCTTCTGACTGTGAGGTGCCTGTGGAGCTGTCCCTCTAACAGGCAGACAAGTCTGGAGGTTAAGAGAGTGACCTGGGCTGGATACACAGATTTGGAAGTCATCAACGTGTAGGTAATAGCCGAAACCACGGGTGTGAAAGAGATCGTCCATGGAAAGTGCACAACGTGACAAAAGGAGGATGAAGGAATGTCACAAACTACTTAAAGAAGGAAGAATAAAGAATCAATGGAGAAAACTAAGTAGAAACAGTTTTCTAGGTCCAGTCCAAGGCCTAATGAGTATGCTGCCTAGACAGAAAAACGAGAGTCCTCTAAAAAAACAAGACGGAGAAGGACATGACCGAATGAGAGACAAGAACCAGAGGACTCCAGGGAGGCAATGGCCTTCCCTTAGTTGTTGAGGAATTGGGATACCCAACCAGGGCATTGTCATTCAACGTGCTATCTAAGAGTAACTGGTTTTAGCTGTAGGAGCTAAACCTGTCTTTACCTTATCCTTCACAAATTCAACACTCCTGGACACCAATGCAAGGGTACCGCTTACACAGAATAATTCACTGCCATAGCCTCAAAGGTTGTTAGAGCTGGCCAGGACCCTTTCATTGGAAAACCTCTTCATTAGACTACTAACAAAGTCTAAACTGTCAGAATGGATCCTTCACACCATCCAAATCGCCACTACACCAAGAGAACAGCAGACACATACCTTAAACTTAGGAACCGGGAGGGAAAAGTCTCTGTTTTTGGACCTGACATGGCAACGGGGGTCTTGGAGGTCTTCAACTGGAATATACTTTGAGTCCTGAGAAGGAAAGCAAGAACAGAAACATAGCTCAGAGTGAAACCAGGCTGTTGAGCTCTACGAAGTGCATTTGAGACCCATATGCAAAAGAGCTGAGTTCTGACTGCCCACTTTTAAGAAGTGAGGCTATTGGTATGGGAGTTCTAGATGCTAGACTGAGGTAACAGAAAAGAACCTGGCCAGAGTTCCCTAGATGGCAAGGAAGGACCTGGGGCACTCACGTTGACACTGAAGTGGATTCCATCGTAGCGGTACACCTTTTGAGAAGGCCTGCGCAAGGCGGGGTCCAGGGCAGGATCCACGATGAGCTTGTAGTTCCTCCATTGGAAGCTCGGGGCCTTCTGTCCATCTCCCCCACCTTCCTGATCCATCTTTGCTCATTTACACTGTTACGAAAGAAAAACACGCAAGGAGGTTCAAGACTCAGTCCTGACTCCCTTGCTGTTCCTCACCAACTAGCCCAAACTCCAGCTTCTCTCATCACCCGTTTCCACACCTCACCAGGACTCGTGGCTTCCCCAGATTTTCCCCCAGGTACCCTGTTTCACCACAACATCCCATTCTCTGTCCACCTCCCAACTCTCCCCTCAGGCCCCCAGGCCCATCTCGCGCCCCCTTACCTTCCTGCTTCCCTAGCGCGCGCCCCACTTGGCCTCAGCACAAGACCCCTCCCCCGCCCCCTGGCAGGCCCCGCCCCCTCCCGCCTCCTCACCGGCCAGCGGCCCGGGCCAAGCCTGGCTCCCGCTCCCACACACCCGCTCTCGTCCCCGCGCCCCGATCCTCTGGCCGAGAGGTGGCACCTCTTCGGGGCGTTGCAAACACCGCGAGACCGAGCCCGAGACCCGGCTTCAGCCCCGAATCCGGGAGAGGGGGTGGGGGTAGCGCGCGTCGCTGCCCTCTTCTCCCGCCCCAGCGCGCTTTGCACCCCCCCGTCCCCGCGCACGCGCGCCCCGGCCCCACTCACCCGCTCGTGGCGACCGGCTCCCCCTCCCCCACCCCGCGC